AATGTTCTGATGATTTTTCTACTATCTCAGCTTGTTCCATTAAATCCTTCCATGTGTGGGAAATGATGGTACACATGTGAACTTTAATCCGTGCCACAAAATTATGCTGACAAGTTTGAAGTAACATTGGTAGAGGCATATCTCGACATCGCAATGTTAGGTTATGGTATATGTCAATGTATTCCCTAAACATTTTATTTTTGCTTTGCTTCTCAAAAAGGAATTTGGCCATGGTAACATTGGATTGTTCCTCATAGAATTGTGAGATCTTCGATTCAAGACCTGCCCATGATCTGATTGAACCCTTGGGCAAATTCTAGAACCAATTAAAGGTTACCCCCTGAAGGGTTCCAATGAATAGTTGTGCCTTTGTGGTATCGTTACCTACTATATTCCCAGTTTATTGGTGAAAGTAGTAGATATGTTGGTTCGAAGAACCTTTATCATTAATGTATGTAATGTTGGTGGTTTGAATTTTATAGGATAGGGAACCATGGCCCATTCAATCAGATAAGGTCGAGTAATTCCAACCTCCTTGAGCTCAGTTCATTGAGAAAGAACGACGAGCTGCTTTTGAATATCCTCCAAGGCATTTGCTTTCTTGCTTGGTTTTGAAGGTATTGTTGCTTCCGATCTTGCATATTCAAAGTTTGCATCGTCTTAATGTTGTTGATATTCTTTTGGGGGTTTTCACCGATCAACCTCTTCCTGAAGAATTTGGTTGAGATTGAGATACCAATAAGAGTTATTCAATCATCTTTTCCAAACGTTCGATCCACTCAAATGAGTCCTTCTTTTGCCATTTGAGCAAGAAGATCTTCTCGATCTATCACATCTACTTCCCATTGTTGTTCTTGACTTAAACTAGGGGTTGCATTCAACGCTATGACAGAGTTGGCATCGCTTGAAGTGGGTTGGTTCACTTGAGATGAAGTCTGTGACGTCTGCATTTGGAAGTAAAAGTAGTCAAAAGGGATTGCTGCTCTTCTTCTTAATCTGGTGTTGCGATACACACTGTCAGCTTCTGGTAATATGGATCCAATGCCTGGAGAATACACTAGATTGGACAATCTATCTGTACTTTCTTCCTCATCTCTAGAAGTTAAACTTGTCATGTCGACAGTGAATGCTTGCATTTTACCCTTTTGGGTACATCATTTTCATTTAGTCTGAACCTCTAAAGAGTCAGGACCATGACTGAGATGTTTGAAGATTGATTCGTTTTCAGGAATAGCTTTACATTAGCAATTCTTTTGAATTGTCATGCCTATTTCCCTAAAGGTCGCACAATGCTGACATTGGCGAGCTCTCATCAGAGATCGGAATTCTCTTAAATCAAGTGCAATTCCAAGTCGAGGGCCAACTTTGCCAATTTTGGCCTTAGAATGCGAACGTCGCTTTCGGCGACCTTGGCTAATCCTTTGTGCAGTAGAATCATCATTGACGATATTATTCCTTTGAGGGACTTTAGATGAGAGGTTACCCTAATTCTTAGCTTCTATCGAGGAAGCATAGCGAGCATTGTGAGGTGCTTTAAATCGTACTCCTAAAGGAGTCTTGGACTGATGTTTGAGATCAACAACGTGTTGATCTTCGCTCGAAGCGAGGGTCGAGATTTCTTCGCTATTGGCGAAGTTCATTTGGCTTCTAGGTAAGCTCAAACTGTATTCGGTGAAGGTCGTCTTTACACATGCTGGGGTCTATTTAGACCTAAGATTCACACAATGGTGAATTCTATGACAACTGGGTACAATCGCCATTTATGATGATTGGTTCATGGAAATAAATTCCTAGAACTTTGCTTGGTCAAATTCAATGATCAGTGATTCAGCAAAAGACCCGAGGGTCTTAGTGTTGGCGTACGATACAATTTTTTCATCAAAGGAGAAAGTAGTCCCCAGCGGAGCCACCATCCCGTTTTGGGTCTTTAAAATTACAATTGACATAGATTACAATTGAAAGATTATAGCGAAACAAAGGAAAATTTATATTTCCTGTTGTTCTTTTCTGTGTGCTAGTGGAACGTCGATCTTGTATTCTATTGACGCACTGACTAAGACCACGAGTCTTTTACTATTGATGATAATTTAGTTGCTTAGAAGATAACTCGGTCTTTTCTTAGCAGTCTTTCTCAATAGAATCGCAAGTGCGATGATGAGGATCTCTCCATGCGTGTGTATTGTTGGCTGAGACTCGAGAGCCTTTAAAATGATAATTTCCTCTCCTTTTATAGGCTAAGAGAGAGAGAGAGAGAGAGAGAGAGAGAGAGAGAGAGAGAGAGTTAATGGCCTTTATTTTTATATTAAGTGGTCGTTAAATTAGGAGTTAGTGGAGAACGGTTATTCCCCTAAAAATAGCTCCCAAAATAGCTATTTGGTGAACTTTGCTGACTTGATGAAGTTCGCTGAAGACATGGGCGAGGGTCGCTAAAGTCATGGGAGAGGGTCGCTGAGGATGTGGGCGAGACTTCTTCGGAAGTAGATGACTTGGTCCACTTAAGTTGTCATTAACAAAGTTCGTTGGTTGACGAACTTCGTCTATGAGTTTGAATTTGACATAAATTTTGACTCATGATTTGGCCAATTAATAATGCCTTTTGACTCGGTTTGGGGCGTTTTTTGCCAGTCGACTTGCACTTAACTTGGTTGATTCGATTCGAAATGGGCTATTTGGCGAGGCTCGCTTGCTTTGTTAGGCGACCCTCGCTATAGCTGGTTGTAGGCTCAGCATTAGGCCCATTCGAAGTATTTAACCCATGTGCATTCACTTCTTAGACCTAAGCTAATCATTGGCCTAGGTGCAAAAATATATTTCAACCATCTACAAAGTTGAAGAAGGATGTCTATAAGGAGATTTAGAAATACAAAGCTAGATTAGTGGTCAAAGTTTTTTTTTATCAAAAAACGGCATTGATTTTAATGAAATTTTCTCACCAGTTGTGAATGTGACATCAATTAGACTAGTTTTGGGGCTAGCAACTAGTTTAGACCTCGAGATTGAGTAGCTTGATGTGAAGATTATATTCCTTCATGGTGATTTGGAGGAGGAGATTACATGGAGTAGAAGGAGGGTTTTGAAGTGAAAGAAAAAGAATATATGATTTGCCAATTAAAGAAGAGCGCCCTTAATTTGAAGCAAGTACCCAGGCAGTGGTAGAAAAAATTTGACTGTTTCATGTTGAGTCATGGCTACCAGATGACAACTACAGATTCTTGTGTATATTTCATGGGATTTTCAGATTCTAGCTTATTCTTTTGCTTTATGTGGATAACATGTTGATTATTGGTCAAGATAGTTAGACGATTAGTGAACTGAAGAATGAGTTATTTAAATCCTTTTCCATGAAAGATTTGGGGTTGGCACAACATATTCTTGGTATGAAGATTGCTCGTGATAGGAAAGCCATGAAATTGTGGTTATCATAGGAGAAATATATGGGATGGTTGCTTAATAGATTCAACATAAATAGTGCCAAGACAATTAACTCTTATTACAGGTCACTTGAAGCTTAGCAAGAAGTTTTACCTGACTACAAATGAGAAAAATAGTGAGATGGAGAATATTTGTCACTCTTTAACTGTAGGGAGTTTAATATATGCCATGATTTGCACTCGGCCAAATATAGCTCATGCAGTTAGCGTTGTAAGCAGGTTTCTTTCTAATCTAGGAAAAGTACATTGGAAAGGTGTAAAGTAGATCCTCAACTATTTGAAAGGCAGTTCAGGATTGTGTTTGAGTTTTGGAGGTTCCAAGACAGTACTATAAGCTTTTGCAGACATGAATATGGCATGTGATCTCAATCAGAAGAAGTCTACCTCAGGTTGGCAGTTCAGGTTGTAGAAACATGTTGTTTTATCTACAATAGAGGTGAAATATATTACAACTGCAGAATTCAGTGAAGAGATGGTTTGGTTGAGAAATTTTTGCAGGAGTTAGGCTTGCAGTAGAATGTGTATCAAGTTTTTACTGATAGTAGCGTGCTCTTGATTTGAGCAAGAATTCTATATTCCATTCCAAGATAAAACATATTGATATGAGATATTATTGGCTTAGAGAAACTGTTGAGAAAGAGGAAGTGAAGCTACAGAAGATTCACACAGATAAAAGTTCAGCGAATTTTTTAATGAAGATCGTTCCTAAAGAGAAGACTGAGTTGTGTTAGCGATTTGCCGACCGGGATTCCCGACGAGGATTGACAAATTGGCATACCCCACTTGTTAGACTAGAAGGGGAGATTGTTGTGGGTCCAGCCCAAAATCAAAGCCCACATGAGGTCCATGTAATTGAATCCTTGCTAAAGAAGGATTAGTAGGGCCTAATTATAATTAGATTATGTTAAGGGTCCTTGGAATAATATTCTAAGGAATAATTTTTGTGAAACCATGTAGTGAGTTTTAGTACGAAACAGAGAGCGCAATTTATTTGTGTGCGCTGTTTTCCAGAAGAGAGAGAAAGAAAAAGAGAGAAGAGAAAAAGTTGATTTTTGGATTGCTCTTTAGTACGATTAGTCCGATTGTAATGATTTAAATATCGTTTTTTTTAGAAACGAGGACGCGGTTAAGGTAACGATCTTGGCTTTTCCACGGGTGTTGGGAACTTGATTGAGATGAGTTTTTAGGTTTTGGTATCTTAGAGGTTGTCACTGCATTTTTTCTTGTGCATTAATCCTCAAGTTTAGGTGTAGCTTTTAGGATTTATATCTTAATTCATAGTGCAATATTTCTCTTTAGATTTGCTGAACGTCGTTAAATCTTAGTATTTGCTTGCGTATAATATTTTCGTTGGTGTCATTATTTATTTTTTATGTTTAATTCCGCAGATAACCTTCATAAAATTCCTAATAAAACGGCCAAACTAAAATATTTGAATATCAGTAATTGAAAAAACCAAAATTTATAGGTGCAATTATGCGACCTACTATGTATTTCCGGGGCTTTACTTTCTAGCTAGTAGCAATAAATAATTTTCTTAGTATTGTTTTTTGTTACTCATTGTATTACCAGAACATTCATAGCTCCAGCTTTGAAATGGTGTGGACTTTTTGGCCTCTTCTCTCTAGCAACATAAATCAAATGTGGAATGCCATACTCTTCCTTGGTCTCCGATATCACCTACAAAGTAAAGGAAATAAGTTAAGAGGGTAAACTTTTGAAAAGTAAAATATCGTTTCTGTATTTGTTTAATTCTTAAAGTCGTTTGCTTAGCATACTTTTTTAAGGCAAAAACAAAAAACTGGATCCCCGTTCATACATATATGGAAAGCGTAAATATTTACAAAAAAAAAGGGATAAGAGAATATATCCAAAAGTGTTTATCAAAGGAACAAAGAGTTTCTTATAGTCATAAAGTTCTAACTTTCTTTGTATATGCATCTATGAAGGTGAAGAGAGGACCGTAGCCGTCATTCACTACATATAGGGACCTAAGCTTATCCTATACTTATGAAAATGAAACACAAAGTTCAATTGACAAACAACAACAACAAATGCATAAAACAAAAATTGTTTGCTGGACATATTATTCTTATTAGCATTTTGTTTTGGTACGTTCTTCGTTTTGGTCACTTAGCAGAAACAAATTAAAAAAAAAAAACAATTGAAAATGACTTCTACCCGACTGATGTTTTTATAAGATCTCTAATGCGTCACTCATTGTTTTTATTCACTCAGATTTATATATGTCCGCTACATTTTGGAAAATGAATATATTACCAAATTATTTCAGAATAAATTAATACTTACAGTCACCACCAAAGTTGTAGACACAATGAGATGAAGGTTGAACAATGTAAACTAGCTAGACCTATCCCATACCCTGAAAGTTTAGTAAGCTCATTAAAAGAACACGATCTATAGATTTAGATTTTTTTTTTAAAATTTACTTTTATCCTTTTTTAATGATAATTATTATTCTTGTATAACTTAGATTTAGGATATGGATAATTAAGGTCAGATTTGAGCTGTACATAGATCAACATCATAATCAGTTAATCACTTTTATTATGTGGAAAGGGGGAAAAATCGTCAAATATTCAGCCTTTTGACAACCTTCAGCCAAATAAATTACATATAACACCTTTACAGTTATATATTATCCGTAAGTAAATACTTTGAAGAAATTAATCCTAATAACAAGTGATCTAGAATTTAAAATAAACAAAAGAACGATTACATGAGTTAAAATAACGTCACCTTGATAATGCTTGGATGGTTCCGTCTCTCTATGGCGGAAAACTCAACGAAGTCATCGTTCGTGTGATGTGGAATATAATCTCTGGAAGCATTTTCTATCTTTCTAACTAGCTCCAAATATTCCGCCTAATGAGATAAAATCAAATATTAATTAGCTACTTGAACATAAAAGGGGGTATTGCATATATACCCGCATAATCTTTTATATTTGTAAATTTACCCTCCCAACTTTGGTATTTGCAAAACTACCTCCCCCCATCCCCCAAAGAAAAAAAAAAGATAAAAGAAAGAAAAAAGCACCACCCACCAAACCAAATTCTTTAACATTGATTTTTTTTTCCTACTCCCACTTAACAGTACTAGTTTGTGAACGGGAACATGTTGCAATCCTATTAGAAATTATCGGAAAAATGGGCATTGCCTACTTGGAAACCAACAATGTTAACTTGGAGGGGGTAAAAAGACCTAATATGCAGGTAATTTTACAAATACCAAGATTTGAAGAATAAATTCACAAATATGGTAGATTTGAGGGGTATATATGCAAAAAAACACAACATAAAAAAGATGAGGTCAAATTAGAATTTCAATCGCCCAACTTCTTGCATACCTTCACATGTTTCCAATCTTGAATGATAGCGGACGATACCTGCAGTTCACTTGAGAAATACACAAAGGGAGCTCGAACTTGAATCTTGTACTTTTTACAGAAAGGTACCCATATTTCGGCAAATTTAGAAGCTTCGCAAAGTGCATAGTATGTTATTGGAGATCCTCCATCGTCCGACACATAGCAAGCGAGACGATGACTTGGATATTCTACGGCGAGCAAGGAGAGCACTGTGTTGACGGTGACAATTGGTGGCTCGAGGCTTGGGTCCGCGGTGGTGACGAACATGTCCACCGCTGGTAGATCTTCAAATCTAACGTAAACAAAAATATTCGATAAAAACTACGAAAAAGATGTTTGATATGACGATGATAAAAATTTTGTCAAAGTGATGAGACAAACAGGGTAAGTTTCACAAAACCCCCAAAAAAGTTTCCTGCATTCTGGGATAATCCCCAAATAGTTCGAATCCCATAACTTTTTCTGATAACCCCAAAACATTAGGAGAGTAATTGCAAAATAGATTAGGAGAAGTGCACAAAAAAAAAAGGAGTTAAGTTATATTTTCCAAACTTTTCAAGGATTTTATCTCAAAATGAATCAAACTTCGGGAGTCTTGTAAAAAATATCCAAATAAATATGTATCTAATTAATATCCAATCCAAAGATTAAAGAACTAATGAATATACACCTCTTTGAGAGACGTTCAGGATATGTTATATAAGCAATTGGATTCCATCTACAATTGACATTGAGAAGCCATACGAAGGCGAACCAAGATTCACAGACGAAGGCGATAAGCCAGATACCGAGGCTGTCAGCTGTCTGGAAGGAGGCGAGGCGATAAATTAGGAGAGCAACGATGAGGAGGAAGATGAGAAGGTCGATGAATCTTTTCAAGTTGCTATGAAGAAATACTTTCTCTTGGAGGGGGAAGGATTTGGAGCTTGTCATAGTTTAAACTTTGGCTGTGGCAGCTAGCTGCTGTTGGCTATCTTTAAACCATATCGTGTTTACATATAGCTTTGGAGTGAACTTTGCAGGTCTACTTGACTTGTGGCTTAAAAATATCGTGAGCGAAGAGATCAGAATATTACTTCTCTCGTAAACTACATGAACCACACCTACATGATTTCCTTAAGCACAAGGACATGCATACATGCTACCGGTGCACATTGAGTGTTCAAATGTTTAATGATTATGTGCGTATTGAGCTAGCTGTTCAAATGTCAAGTGATATATAGTATGCACATTTACCCTATTTTTGGTCGAAATATAGTAAAATTAGACATGTAAACATAAAGTATATTGTGTTATCCCCAACTTTATGTATTGAATTTTTTTCATAAATCAAAGATTAATGGATGGGCTGCTACACCTTGAAATTGATTATAAAAATAATCATTGATTTAGGATGTTGTGGGTCCAGCCTAAGATAAGGCCCACTTGAAATCCACATGAATTAGAATTCTATTTAGGGGCTGTTTGGTTCGTTTCCTAGATATAGGAAAATGCATTTCCATGTACAAAAACACAAGTTTTAGATATAGGAAAATGCATTTCCATGTACAAAAACACAAGTTTTGAGTTTTCCAAACTTTTCCAAGAAATAGATTGTTTCGCTTTGGTTCGCACAAAAAAATGGTGGGAAACCAATGTATTTATTTTTCTTGTGTTTGGTTCACATGAAAAAAAGAAAAAACTTTTGTTTATATGGCAAAAAGCCGACGTGGCTGTAGTTTTCGTCGATTTCACGAGGTTGAGGAAAGAATTGGGGGGAGAGAAAAAAATCTGATGTGGCGGCGATTTTCACCGAGTTTCCCTTCTTCAACCCTAGCGAACCAAAGATGAGGAAAAAACCCGACGGAAAGCTTATATCCTACGTGGCCACGGAAAATCTGATGTGGAGGCGGTGTAAAACTTTTCCACCGAGTTAAAAAACGAACCAAACAGCCCCTTAGAAGAGTATTTGGATGATCTATTTCAAATATGAATAGGTTTGGAGAATTCTATATAATAGAGCCCTGAGATCAATTTTTCGGATGAACAGTGTCATCTACAGTAATCCGAGAACAGTGTTTACTACAACACCCGAGAGGAGAGAGAGAATAAGAGAGAGAAAATTTTAGATTCCGGATAGCTCGGTTGTCCGATTGCAGTGATTCAAAAGCCGTTGCCTTCAGAATGACGACACCGTTGAGGATATGGTGTTGATTTCTCCGTGGGAGTTGGAGATTTTTGGTAAGACGAGTTTTAGGGTTTTGATGCCCTAGAGGTAACATTGTATCTTTATCTTGTGATTTAATCCTCAAGTACAGGTGTAACTTGGAGGGATTGTACTCTTGATTCATAGTGAAATATTTTTCTCTGGATTGCCCCGTGGACGTAGGCACGATTTGCCGAACCATGTTAAATTTTGGTGTTTGCTTGCTTGTGGTATTTTCATCTGTGTTGTTATTCGTTTAGTGTTTAATTCCGCAGATTAATCTTCATGAAATCCCCAACAAGTGGCATCAGAGCCCAGGTTCAAGGAATGCTTTGGGATCGAAAACATGTAGAGTTTTGACACAATGATAAAATTGGATGGTTCCAATTGGCAAATATGGAAATCCAAGATGGAAGATATTCTTTAGTGTAAAGATTTACTTGACCCTATTGAGGGAGATGAAGCCAAGCCCGAAAAGATGACTGATAAAGAATGGGAGAAACAACACAGGAAGACGATCAATTATATTCGGATGTGGATCGACGTTAGTGTGTTTCATCATGTATCGGGTGAGACTAATGTGAAGTATATTTGAAAGAAGCTTGAGGATCTCTACGAGCAGAAGACCGCAGGAAACAAGGCATTTATTATGAGGTAGTTAGTGAACATAAAATTCAAAGAAGGAAGCAACATAGCATGGTACTTGAATGAGTTCAAGAGTTTGATTAATCAGTTAGCTACCATGAAGATGACTATCGATGATGAGCGTTCAAGAGTTTGATTAATCAGTTAGCTACCATGAAGATGACTATCGATGATGAGCTACATGCTTTATTGCTATTGGGTTCATCAGTTAGCTACCATGAAGATGACTATCGATGATGAGCTACATGCTTTATTGCTATTGGGTTCTTTGCAAGACAGTTGGGAGACACTGGTTATGACAGTCATTAATGCAGCTCCAGATGGTGTGTTATCGATGAGTATGTTTACTAGTAGTTTATTCAATAAAGAGACTCGGAGGAAGTCTACTAGCACAGATAACTCACAGGCACTTGTCACAGAGAAGAAGGGTAGGAGTAGGTACAATGACCAGTCCAGAGGTCGTGGCACATCCAAGGACAGATCAAAGTCTAAAGAGAGAGGTTGCTTTTATCGTGAGAAGCCAGGTCATATCAAGAATAATTATTGGGCATTGAAGAAAGAGTAAGCTGGGAGCAAAGATGAAAAGAAAGATGAGAAGAAGAAAGCTGACAGTGACACAACAACTATTTTGTTTGAGACCGATGTTATTCTCATTTGCAGGGAAGAAGACTGTATGCATTTTACAAGTCAGAATTCCGAGTGGATAGTGGATATAGGAGCTACATGTCATGCTACCTCCAATCGATACCTTTTCACGTACTATAAAGTATGTGACTTTGGCAATATGAAGATGGGCAATACCAGCTACTCGAAGATTATGGGACTTGGTGATATACACTTGCAGACAGATACCGAATGCACATTGATCTTAAAGAATGTGCGGCATGTTCTCAATTTGCGGTTCAACTTAATTTCGGGTCTTGTTTTGGACCAAATGAGATATGAAATTCAATTTGGTGGAGGAAAATGTAAAATCACCAAAGGCTCTCTTGTGGTGGCTAGAGGAAGTGTATGTTACAATTTATATAAGACTCAAGAGAACGCTTCATATGATTCTTTGAACGTGGCTCAAGACGGTGACACTCTCAGTTTGTGGCATAGGAGGCTCGGACACATAAGTGAGAAGGGGTTACAGATATTGGCAAAGAAGTCTCTCATTCCTTTTGCCAAAGGTTTGTCACTCATCCCTTGTAATTATTGCTTATTTGGCAAATAACATAGAGTTTCTTTTAGTAAGCCTTCTAAAAGAAAAGATAATATATTGGATTTGATTTATTCTGATGTTTGTAGTCCTATTGAGGTGGAGTCTGTTAGACCCTAGAGGGGGGGGGGGTGATTAGGGTCTTATGCTAATCTAATCCGATTTTATGCTAATTAAAACTAATTAACAAGTTATCCTAGCAAGTATGAAATACCACAAGATATATGAGCTAGGATAAGCAATGTAAGCAATGAGATATATCTTATATGATAAAATATATATGCAAAGATATATAAACTAATACAAGAGTAAACAAAATGAAACAAGATAGAGGATGATATGAATAATGAGACAATGCACAATTGGCGATATAAGATAAATGCAAAAGCAAATGCGCCAATGACAAACTCAAACACACTCAAATGATCACGGAGTTCGGACCTTCCGTTCTACGTCTCCGCTCCCCACTCCCGGGGAGAAATCCACTATCACAACCCGGTTTGGAAGTCGGAACTTCTACACACCTCACACTCGGTTTTCTAGCTAACCGAAAACTTTACAATCGACACTCTTGCAATCACACTCTACACCCACACAAGTGTTGATATATACATAGAAACAAAATACGTGTGTGTATATGATATTGAGCTTAAGGTACTTAACACACATAATATAAAACCTAAACTAGATTACCCAAGCCGATCTTGATCTTTAATAAGTTTGACTTGGTACACTTTGCGAATGAAGCTTGAACTTGATCTTTAACTTGAATTGTATGTTGCTTCACTCCACAATTCCGCCAACCTCCATTTGATATCATCGTTGAAGCGCTATTCCATCCATCCTCCAACTCGTTGTTTGTCTATAATAAATAGAAATATAACAACACCAGACAAACAACATTAGTGGTAAATTGTTTGTTAAACATCATCAAAACACGAAGGCCAACAGAGTCCTTGGGTAGCAATAAGTATTTTATCATATTTATTGATGATGCATCGCAGAAGATGTGGGTCATCTTGTTGAGGATAAAGGATCAAGTGTTTTCAGTCTTCCAGCAATTTTATGCCATAGTGGAGAGGTAGATATGAAAGAAGTTAAAATATTTACGCACCGATAATGGAGAAGAGTACACTTCCATTGAGTTTAGAGATTATTGCTCCAAGTATGGTATTCGACATCAGAGGATAGAGCTAGACACACTGCAGCATAATGGAGTTGCAGAGAGGTACAATAGGACTATTGTGGAGAAAGTCAGATGCATGTTGAAGATGGTAAAGTTACCTAAGAGCTTCTGGGCTAAAGCTGTTCGCACTGCATGCTACATAATCAATAGGTCACCTTCAGTTCCTTTAGGTTTTGATATTCCAGAGAGAGTTTGGTCTGGAAAAGATATTTTCTATTCCCATCTGAAGGTATTTGGTTGCAAGGCATTTGCACACATTCCGAAGGAGAAGAGATAGAAGTTTGATGATAGAGCAGTTCCTTGCATCTTTCTTGGTTATGGAGAAGATGAGTTCAGCTACAAACTATGGGATCCAGAAAAGAGACAAATTATCAGAAGAGCAGATGTGGTTTTTCAGGAGGATCAGAATATTACATATGTTAGGAGAGCAGAGCAGTCAGAGAGTGTTTCTAGTGAGATTCCAGATATGACACTCATTTCATCTCCAGTACAGTTGCATCCTACATATATATAGCAGGTGTATGATGATGATATTGATGATGATGGTCAAACACCAGAGCAGGGAGACTGTGATCAGGATCATGAGCAGGAGGCTCCTCAGTAGGGAGAGCATCACCAGTAGCAGGAGTTTGTAGAGCCACAACTTAGAAGATCAGCTAGAGAGCATTGACCATCCACGAGATATCCTCTTTCAGAGTATTCTTTGCTGACAGAAGAGGGGGAGCCAGAAAACTTTCAGGAGGCACATACTCATAAAAACAAGGACAGATGGTTCCAGGCTATGAAGGAAGAGATGAAGTCTCTTAAGAAGAACGATACTTATGAGTCAGTGGATTTGCCGAAGGCCAACTTATCTTAGATAAGGCGAGCGAAGTCCTCACAAGTCGGGGAATACAACTCCGTGAGAAAAGCTTTGAAGAATAAGTGGGTGTTCAAGTTAAA